ATGTATAATAATGATGTATAATAATAGTAAAAAGTGGGTGATACATTGTACAGTAGCATAATGTGCACCTCTGCCTACCCCTTCGGAGATAAAAGGCGTGATGTTATATGTTATGTATGTTATGAAAATAGATTTTGCAAATTATAACTTTCGTGAGACATACTTAATTATTTATTATGTTTTTCGGCTTACTCACGTACTTAGGAACTCGACTAGTTTCAAGCCATGCTAGAAGTTCATATTCATGAGCAGCATTACGCGACACGCGACGTGACGGTCGCACTGCTAGATACTAGTCGAGTTCCTCATCAAATAATTACGTGAGTAAGTCAAAAAAACATATTGATCAATATTTTGCAACGTTTTAATGCTTGTTACACTAACTGCCTCTTTGGTCAAGTGGTCGCCAGTGTGACTTCAGAGCAAGAGATTTTGGGATCGATTTCCAGGGGAAATACTCTTGAATCCAATTCTGATCGATCGACATTGGTATTGTGAAATTTCGTACTCTTGAGTTGTAACACTAGCGCCCATTGCATCCGTATCGCGTGGATATTAAATGAACTAAATGGTATTGAGTTTGGCTTTACATTCCCTACTCCGAATGCTATTGTAACAGCTACGATAGGGGTTGTATAGTGTTAACATTGAATAATTATTGAGATTTTATTGGATTGAAATTGTATTGGCATTGAGTTTGGTTTCAAGAGTAAGCGCCCAGATTAGGGCAAATGCTTTTGAAGGTTTTTCGACAATTTCTCAAATATAACACGGAGTCTGAAAGTACTCGTCTAAGGAGGCAGTAAATACTATTCACAAATGAAAGTAATTATTTGAAATTTTATTTTTAATTTGGGTGGCAGCCCTGTAACATGTGAGAGAAGACACGGGCGCGAGTTATCTCACCCCTCGCGTAAGTACCGCTACCTGGAGTCGTACCGATCAAGGGCAGTGCAAATATCGAATTATCGATATTCAAATCGAATAATACAATTTCAATTTTAATTAAATTAATTTCTTTTCACTTATACATTATTGTATATAACTTATATATATTATAATATTGTACATTTTCTATTGTTTATTGTTATTTTTTTATTTTTTTAAGTTTTTATTCATATTTGTGTCAGATAAGTATTTTATAATTCTACTATTATGGGGCATTATGGCGCTTAATGCCACTGTACAATGTACTTCTGTACAATGTAACACCCACTTTTCACTATTTTTATGAATCCCATGTAATAGGGGGTGAGCCTATGGCCATATACCGGGCATAATTCCAGACTGCATGTTACCACTGAGAATTAAAAAAAAAAAACAATAATACTTTGCCCGACCCGGGAATCGAACCCGAGACACCTGGCTCGGCAGCCGCACAGGCGATCACTCGGCCAACGAGCCAGTATCGTATGTCTATGTGTGTCTAGTATATGTCTCATACAAACCCTCATATATAGGGAAACTCTGAAGGCATAGTTCATCAGCATAAGTGACTATAAAATTATATTTTAAGTATTGTAGTACGAATATGAAACTACTCCTAAATATTTTTAAATGCTAAAATGGTTATCAACAATATCGACAATCGAATTCACTGTCGACAACCCACATCACTACCGTTAACCGCGCTGTCCGATCGTATGATTGACGCTGCGCTTGCGCACCCGAATAAAGGGCATAAACATTCCCTTTTGTTTTTTTTCACGTCCAATCGACACGGGCGTCGAATAATTGCACATGTCCGATGTATATCACGAGGAGTGTATTCTTCGAAACCAAATGATGAAGTGCTTTTGACCAGTCAATGGTTCCTTCTTTACGGTGTATTAAGGAAAATTACTTTTGAATGAGCGTGTTTGGTGGCCTCATGATTTATTATTTATTGTACCTTTTTTAGTTACGGTACTTCGATTTGTGATTTTGATTAATTTATGAAGTTTGTTTTTATTTTTGTGAATCGTAACGTATTATAAAGTAACTGGCTATTGCCCGCGAATTCGTTCGCATGGAATTGTGATTCACAGCTCCTCCCCCGTAGATGTTGACCAGACCTGTTAGTAATATTCATTCAAAATTTGAAGTTAATCCATGCAGTACTTTTGGAGATCATACCGGACATACATACAGACAAACAGACAAAAATTATAAAAACCATATTTTTCGCTTCTTCTCAAGTATTCTTTTAAAAAAATCAATGTACAGTTTTGACTTTTCTACGATTTTATTATATGTATAGATACTGTTTAATTTTCTGAAGGTAAATATTTTCGTGTAACTCCCATGTTAATAGAGAAGGGCTATTCCGAACTGTACTACACTTTGTCTTGGGATCAAACTTCAGATCCCTTGTTCGGCAGTCGCTTTCACGGTCTCTCCAATGAGACAGTAATGTAGTGGTAATTATAAAACGTTGGGAGGTGACTTTAAGGCCGTTTTTTGTTTGTACGTTGAATTGAAGATGATTTTAATTTAATATCGTTTTTTTGTATTTTTTTTTTACTTTAATAAACCTTAGTCACATCTTTTTCAAACGTATGTAATCGATGGGAATGGTCCCATTACATGGGACTCGTAACATAAATAGTGAAAAGTGGGCGTTACATTGTACAGTGGTATTAAGTCCCGTAGTGTGCACCTCTGCTTACCCCTTCGGGGATAAAAGGCATGATGTTGTATGATGGTATGTCAATATGACTTTACTGATGACGTAGTTAGATGACGGCGAGCGCGACGAAGTGAACGTCGCGTACTAGCGGACGCGGCCTATTGCGACTAAGACAACATCCTCTATATGTCCTTGTTGTGTCATAAAATTCTATGACCCATTATAGGACCTGGAATGAAGTAACTAGTCTATGACGTTAGTCCCTTTAGTATGTACCTTAGATAACCTTAGATAAAAGAGAATTTTGTCAAGATTGTGTTTTTTTACGGCATAAGCCGGTAAACGAGCACACGGATCACCCGATGGTAAGCAATCGGCGTCGCCCATGGACACCTGGAACACCAGAGGCGTTACAAGCGCGTTCCCGGCCTTTTGGGGATTAGGAGTTTGAGGATCGTTGGGGATTATGAGATTGGGGAGATTAGGGAAGGGGAAGGTAATTGGGCCTCCGGTAACCTCACTCACACGACGAAACATAACGCAAGCGTTGCTTTACGTCGGTTTTCTGCTCTGCCGTGGTATCACTCCGGTCGAGCTGGCCCATTCGTGACGAAGCAAGGCCGGGTGGCAAAAATCACATTTTTAGTGGCATTCTAGAACTATTAAACGAATTTTCATATATTTTTTTCCAATGAGTATTTTGTTAAGCGAAAGAGGTATGTAGGAATTGTAGCAATTGGAATTCCATAGTGTCTGCCTACCCCCATGGGAGACAGGCGTTAGGTTGATGTATGGATACTAATAGATGCAGTGATTCTTGAATGATATTTACTTAAACTGTCAAACACCAAGCGGTCACCGGTGACCGCAACCTATTGTTCTATAATTGTGTCTGTATTGACGGTTCTCGACGAGTTAATTCGTGATGATTTGAATACCCCAGAAAAATCTGTGGAATGTTAGTCACCACACTATGTAGAAATGATAGTTGACTTCGCAAAAATCATCTCCCATCCACCTCCCAACCTGTTTTAAAAGGTAAAGGTTATCGCAAATCATATCAACAGTTACATAAAGTGAAGTTAATCACAACTGACACGATTATTATTACGAGTGAGGGGGCGAGCAGAGATAGAAATTATGTGGAAGTGTGACAAGACGTAACAACAAATATTATATTTTACAATATTTCTGAATGGAAGCACTTTTAGTTGTGGATAGCATCAATGACGAAATGAAATGACACAAAATGAAATTATATTTATTTCTGCAAATGGGTTGCAAAGTAACACTTTTACACGCCAAACTTTAAATTAGTAGACGAGGGCCGGTTCCTAACTGTCTAGTCAGAGAAGAAACGCCGAAAGAAACTCAGAATACGAAACAATATCATTAGTTTCCATCATATTCAAGCATCTAGTCAAACAGCAACAGTCAGACAATAAAATGTGCAGATATATTCTTAGGTACTTCAACATTATGTTATTCTAAGTGTTCATTCAGTGGTACACTTTATTTGTCGCGGAGAACCTAACGGGTAACCGGGGCTCCGGCTCTATGTGCAGGAGAAGGAACGGGGTGGTTTTTAGTCAGTAAGAGTCTGACACTCCCTCCCGCCTCACCCAGGGAGCAGTCATTCGATGATTTTCCCCCTTAAAAAAAAGTCAGTGGTACAGGTTTTATTCGGTTTCATGTATGGGATGGCAGGCCGATGACTCTTTGCGGTATTTATACTGTAACTACCAGCATTGTGTAACATCATTTATTGTGGAACTTACTTATCTGAGGTCAAAAAATGTCAGGAAGGTTGTCTAAAAATTTTCTCATTCAAGCTAAAATTCTCTCTCAGTAAAAAGCTGACAACTTGTTTAATATAATTAGACGACCAATTGTTCCTCACTCCAGTTTTTGTAACTTCTCACATTTCTACTTACACCTGGTAATAACTGGGTACCTCCCACATACCGCCGTCCATTATCCTGCGTGGCCGGTTGCCGTGCGCGCGCGCAGTCGCAGTGCGCATACACGCGCGCGCGCCTCTCTTTTCCTCTGGGACGGGATTCAGGTGCGCGGTAAGCCCTTAATACTTCGTTAAGACTTAAGACTTAGTTTTTTGCCAAAACAATTTCGGAAATGATAGACTATTATGAATGATAGTTAGATAGTTTGCGAAAACCAAAATATCTTCTTCATTGTTATGTGACACATTTGATGTGAGGTCGAAATGTTTTGTTTTTTTTTTTTTAATTAAAGCAAAATCATGCAATTACAATTTTGAACCTTCACAATCACTTTGGAATAGCCCAAGATTTTTATTTGAAATTTTCCTTTGTTTTTTATTACAATTGGTACCTAAAGCACTGTCCTAAAGGACGTCTTAAAGACCTTCACACAACCCAATGTTGAGGCATAATAGGCATAATGTAATGGTAAATTGGTTTGTTTATTTCAAATAAATATAAATGTGCACAAAGATAGTTATCTAGGTTGGCGAAGGTCATGGACACTGAACTTATGTCTATTTCTATCTTCGTAAACGGACCTACAAGACTGGAAAAATTTTAGTACATGTGGTTCCACAAATTTTCCACCTTCATCCATATCCACAGTTAACACAACCCAGTCAAGATGACGGTGACGAAGAAGCGCCCATCAGACCTGACCAGCTTGGAGCGGTTCAACCTTTACTACCGGGAGAAGGAGGATCCTCTCACTGGTGCTCAAAAGACGAAGCGGTTCATCTGGAACCCCAAGACCAGGCAGTTCTGCGGCAGGACTGGAACTAGCTGGTGTGAGTTGGTTTTGAAGTGATTTATAAGTTGATACTAAACTTGAATAGGTTTGAGCTTCTATCTTCTACTTCTTCCATTCTACCCATCTTATCTATGGTATCAGCACTAAACTAAATAAACCACATGGAAAAAATTAAATTGTCTCTGTAAAAATTGCACTACATTAATTAAATTTAAAAAAATCTCCTCTTATTATATCTTCCGATTCATTTCGTTGCGGCAACCAAGACAGTTTATTCATGTCCCTGAGACGCGCCGGACTTCAGTGTTCCGGGGTTTTCATGGTTGTATCTACTGTATAACCTGGCTTATAGGAGTTGCAGCGGTTTTCGGAAGTTGTGGCGGGCTTATCCAAAAAAAATTGAAAAAACTATCTTGACATTAATTTGAATCCCAACAGTTTAATTATCTTGATAAGATTTAATAATTTTGTAACTGTAACTCACGGGTGCGAAAGTAATTCATTCGTTTCTTATTAAGCAAACAACACACAAAGAATACTTAAAAACAAAACAAAAAAAAACACTTATTAATAGATTTCTTGCATACAAAGCAATATTACATTTTAACCACAAAAACCAGACATAGGGTCAATTTTTCTAACCTCAGATAAATTTTAACTGAGAAATTATATTTCAAGCATCACTTAATTCTTAACTGTAAAATAAAATTAACAGTTTTTAGTATGGAAGAATTGTCAATATAATATTAAAAAGTTATTCCTTAGTTAAAATTTAACTGGCGTTGGAAATATCGGCCCTTAACGTTTAACTAGTCTTCTTATTGTCTTCGCAAAGATCGAAGCTCTTAAATATTACCAACCCAAAAATGAATTATCAAGTGCATCAGTACCAAGGTACAGGGTTAAAGTACCTTCACTTTAATTGTAACCTACTAAGTCATGAGTCAAGCTCCCAAACCTTAGCATGATGAGTACCGGAGACTGTATTTAATGATGCAGAGTATAAAGACGTGCCTACCGGAAGCTGCGACGGCCATTCATTGGTACAATGAGATCATTGGAACATCCTGCGCGGGCGCCGACTGCCGCGGGTTCTAACCGGTCAGCATGCGGACTGGTCGTGGTGTCTTGTATTTAGATAGTGAATTATTTGAATTGATCTTCTTTTCTATGCTTTGAGTACAAAACTTAATGATGTTCTAAAAGAAATGATCTTCATCCACTTACAGAGGGAATAATGTACCTACATCAAACATAATTAATTAAAGTCTTAAAGACTTGGTCAAATAAGTTGGATCAGAAAGTTCATACTGACGATTTAAGCACCCATATGTGATTAATTACAATGTTAAGATACATCTGTAACTCATTATCTCATTTAATTCTTCGTCCTGTTTGGCAAATGGAGATTTTTTAGTTTCGGATATCTCTACCAATTATACTGTAGGGAACAGAGAGTATAGCTCCCTAAGATCGGAAAAGGAGGATCCTCCGACCAGGCGAGGTGATCGTGCCTGGCGGACTTTTTCCCAACAGTTGCTCGTTGGGATTTTCTATCCGTGTTAAATCGAATGTAAACTTCGTATGTGCGATGTAGGATTTTATGACGTCATCCGTTGACTTGTGACATGTGTCGCCACAATACTATGACGTCAAATAAACGTAACAAATAACTATTGCAGCCAAAATAGCGCTATTCTATTTCATCTTCTACTCTGCGTTGGCAATCCTCGTCGCTATCTGCATGTGGACCTTCCTACAACTCCTGGACACGCGGCAGCCTATGTGGCAGCTGGAGAAAAGTATAATCGGCACGAACCCTGGACTCGGCTTTCGACCAATGCCACCAGAGGTCGCCAGCAGCGTGATCTGGTATAAGGGCAACGATCCTGGAAGCTACAACTTCTGGGTCAAAGAACTGTCTAAGTTTTTAGCAGGTGAGATATTATTAAATTGATTAAATTATATTATTAAATTAATTAAACTGTCAAACACCAAGCGGTCACCGGTGACCGCAACCTATTGTTCTATAATGACGGTACTCGACGAGTTAAATTGATTGCACGATTGGCGCGGTGGTTGTTAAACTGGCTGCCGTGCAACGTGTCGCGCGTTCGATTCCCGCACGGAGCAACTCTTTGTGTGTTCCACAAATTGTTGTTCCGGGTCTGGGTGTCATGTGTATGTGAACTTGTATGTTTGTAAACGCACCTACGATACAGGGGAAAATCCCAGTGTGGGGCAACGGATTTTTCTAAAAAAAAGTATAAAAAAACTCTGTTACAATTGTTCACGAATCCAAACGTGACTTCTTTCTTCTTTTTGCCCTTATTGCAAGTTACTTGGGGTCGGCACACCAAAAGGCATTTTGTCACAAACTCTTTTTTAGTTCATTTAACATACCATTGATTTTCTTATTTCGCACTTATAAACAAACCGATATTTCTACTCTAAAATGCTATCAACATTTCAGTATACAAACGCGACGGTAAGAAGTCAGGAGCGAGCCAGAACATCCACAGCTGTGACTTCAAGCTCCCAGCACCAGCCGGTAAGGTCTGTGACGTGGACATCAGTGCCTGGGGACCGTGCCTCGAGGAGAACCACTTTGCTTACCAAAAGTCCACTCCCTGTGTCTTCCTGAAGCTCAACAAGATTTTTGGATGGAAACCAGCATTCTACAACAGCTCTGACAGTCTACCGGGAGAGATGCCTGATGATCTGAAGGAGCATATCCGAAATATGACTGCGTATGATAAGAATTATGTAAGTTGACGACCATGACAGTAATTTTTAGGAGTTAACGAGAGCAAAAGTATTTGTAAGAGTGAAAATGGATGTAGAATAATGCATCAGTAGCGATAATGTTGAAGAAAATGCGGTCAATTCCAGTTAATCAAATAAGAAGCTGTAGATACTTTCTAAAGCCTCTTATAAGCTTTCTTTACATAAGCCGTTTACTTTCTATTATAGAAAAACATTGACCACAAACCAAAGAAAGGAGTTTGTAATGAACTCCTTTTTTGTTAAAAAAAACCTATAATATAGCTTAATTCTATAAACCCGTTGGTTGGACAAGCATTGGTATGCTTCACACTCATTTCAGTAATTTCCAACTAATTAAGACTCTGGTCCTCATCAATAACATCACATTTTCTTCCCCAGCTGAACATGGTGTGGGTATCCTGCCAGGGTGAGAACCCGGCAGACAGGGAGAACATCGGCCCCATCCAGTACATGCCTTACCGTGGCTTCCCAGGGTACTACTTCCCGTACACCAACCAGGAGGGCTACCTCAGTCCACTCGTGGCTGTACATCTGCAGAGGCCCAAAAGTAAGGATTTTTTTAAATTACTTTTTTAACGGTCAAGAGTCTTGAGAGTATAAGTCAACTTGAAGAGGCTTTTATTTTAAAACAAAATAAAACCCACATTATGGTCTTCTCCTGTGTCGTGGGTACGTTTATAATTATATACAAGTTCACATACACATGACACCCAGACCCGAAACAACAATTTGTGGATCATCCCAGGGGCACCCCAGTACCAGCTTCTTCCTCTAGACCGCGTTCAGCGGCGTGCCGTTCGGATTGTTGGATGTCGGGATGTTTCAAACCGGCTAGACACATTGGCAATGCGTAGAGATGTAGCCTCGTTGTGCATTTTTTATCGCTTATACCACGAGGAGTGCTTTGAGAAATTGTTTGACCTGATACCTGCCCTCTTGCTTCTTCGACCCTCACGACAGCATATGCATCCCCACCATATAGATGGTTGGCACAACTGTACGCTTCTCAAGATGCTTTCTGCCTCGCACAGCAAAACTGTGGAATGGTCTGTCGTCGGCGTTATTTCCGACCCGATACGACCTTCGAACCTTCAAGAAAAGAGCGTATTTTTTTTAAAAGCCGGCAACGCACCTGTGACTCGTCTGGTGTTGCGGATGTCCATGGGCAGCGCTGATCGCTTACCATCAGGTGATCCGTCGGCTCGTTTGCCTCTTATTCCATAAAAAAACACAAAGAGTTGTTCCGTGCCCGACACTTTGCGCAGCAGTCAAGTTGTCCAGTCACCGCGCCAACCGTGCAGTCAAAGTACGATCAAGTAGTGTTTTATTTATGTTAGTAATGCAACGTCATCAATCTAAATATACTTACGGAATGTGAGATCAATTAATAAACAAATTTATGATTTAAAAACCTACTTCATTTAGTTTTTATTTGATGACTGTAAACTATCAATTACTTTATCGTATGGTACTATCATTCGTGTTGTTGTACTTAAATCAAATTAATTAATTATGTCTTGGCTTAGCTTGATTTTGGTTTAAATTTTTACCTTACTTCATTCATCTTCATAACATCACGCCTTTTATCCCCAAAGGGGTAGGTAGAGGTGCACATTATGCCACCGTACAATGTAACACCCACTTTTCACTATTTATGTTAGTAAGCCTATTACCATATACCGGGTACAATTCCAAACTCCGCGCTACTACTACTGAGAATTAAAAAAAAAACCAGTAATACTTTGCCCGACCCGTGAATCGAACCCGAGACCCCTTGCCCGGCAGTCGCACTTGCGACCACTAGGCCAACGAGGCAGTCAGGCAGGCAATTTTAACCTCACTAAAATAAAAAGTTATGTTCTAAAATTCATATTGTACGCGGACGATGTCGCGGGCAACAGTGTTTATGATATTTAGAACAAGTAATATCTTACGTGCAGTTTGCATGAGCATAAATTGCATTGAGCTAATTGCATGCAAATTTTCGCAGCGGGCGTGCTCATCAACATCGAATGTCGAGCGTGGGCCAGGAACATAATGTACGACAGACACGAAGCCATGGGCACAGTGCACATCGAAATCATGATCGAATAGACTACCAGAGCCAGGTGAAGAAGATATAGAAGAAAAATTGTTTTTGAGACAATATAAAATCACTTGTATTTTTAGAAGGTTCGTGTACACTGAGTGTTCTGTGAATTTGTCGGTGACATTAAGTAGGTAATTATTCCAGACCAAACATGTGAGATATGCCTTTTGCAATAATGCTGTAAATCAGCTATGATGGAATTAAGAGGAGATGCCTAATTTTTATTTTAATGTCCATCTGGTAGATTATTTTAAATCATTAGACACGGATTTTTTATTTTCTTACAAAAACGAATACTTTCGACGATATATTGATTTGAAATGTCGCATGACGTCACTTCTATGTAAATTTTATGCGTAGAAATGACGTTTTAGCCCCCACTCCGAAACTTTGATTCGTTTTATCTAAGTATTTTTTATTATACGACAAAATAAAAATATACGTGTCTAATATTTTTTCATTACCTAAGTTACGGACAAATTAGATTTTAAATTTACACACCTAGTCATCATCACACGTTAATTTGATACCACTATATCGTATGCAATCAGAGCTGCCAGTGTACACTCTTTTACAACAACGTACATAATATATTCATTAAAAACATACCAAAGATTACTAAATATTCAATTCAGTTTCGAAAATTGACGAAAATTAATTTAATAATGAATAATTAGTAAACGAAGCTACAATACCAAAAACTAGGATGAATACATATCCTTACAAAGATTTTATATAGAATTTATATCAATATTGATATTATTTATTTATATATTTGTTTGTATGTATATATATATTTAAATATTGTTATATACTGTGTGATTGTCAGCGGAGTGAGAACATTTGTGATTTATCTTAATAAATGTAGATATTGATAATAATCTTATCTTTTTCATTGCAACCAATGATGATAATAATATAATACCTAACCGTAAGTTGTGTTTTCTACGTCGGACAGCAAAATGTGGAATCCTTCTAATATTATAAATGCGAAAGTTTGTAAGGATGTATGTGTGTTATTCTTTGACATTAAAACGGCTAAAGAGATCGACATGAAATTCGAAACAAGAATAGATTATAGTCTGGAATAACACATAGGCCACTTTTTATTCCATAGAAACGCGGGCGATGCCGCTGAAATAAACCTAGTGTGGTTAAATGTTCAATATCAAATATTTGTTACCTGTTACTATGACACTTTAGTTTTTTGCCTACCTTTTAAGGTCCAAGAGGGACTTAAGTTGAGTAAAGTGTAGGTTATAGAAAATAGAATAGGTGAACTGATCCACGATTATACTAATACAAGCGGACCCGACAGACGTTGTCCTGCATATCCACTTGAATGTATAAACAAAAATTCATTCAAATTATAACCTAGACCTGACTGCACTAACGGGTAACCGGGGCTCCGGCTCGACGTGCAGGAGAAGGAACGGGGTGGTTTTTAGTCAATAAGAGTCTGACACTCCCTCCCGCTTCACCCAGGCGGGAGCAGTCATTCGATGATATTCCCCCCTTAAAAAAAAACGACTCGACTGCAGCGCCATCTGCCGGGCTGATTTGTGAATCTATACCATCCAGGGCGCCACTCAAACGCGCATAGAAAAATGTATTTAAATCGGTTGAGCCGTTTTTTTTTTTGGCGCGGCAGCGGGGTTTCGCCCCGGCGACGTGCCTCCGCGCGCATGCTGTACACGCGCGCGAGCACCTTCGCCTCCAGATCCCACGGCGGTAATCCGGCAAGGAGGTTCGCCGACTCCCCAGAGATCGTGCGGTATCCGCGGATCATTCGGATCGCCATGACCCTCTGTGCCATGAGCAGCGTCCGAGCGGGACGCCGCAACAGGTTTGGCGCCCAAACAGGGGCGCCGTAGAGGGCCATGGACCGCACGACCCCGGCGTATAACCTCCGGCAGGAGGCGTTTGGCCCCCCGAGGTTGGGGAGGATGCGTTTAAACGCAGCCCCCGTCCTCGCCAACTTTGGAGCCAAACGTCGGAAGTGTTCAATGAAGTTCCACCGACTGTCGAGGACGAGTCCTAGGTACTTCATCGTCGTCTCGACGCCGATGGTAACTCCTCCCGCCGTTATTTGGGACCCACCCGGAGGTGGCGCGTTCCCGCGGCCATGAAAACACATGGCCTCGGACTTGTGGAGCGCCACCTCGAGTCCCAACTGCCGGATTCTCTCAACGACTGTCGCAACCGCTGTCGCCATTAAGTCGGCCGCCGCCTGGTGTGACCTCCCGTGCGCTAGCACCAGCGTATCGTCGGCGTAGCATATTGTGCTAACGCCGTTCGGGAGGTCGGTGCGCAGCACCCAGTCATAGCCGATGTTCCACAGGAGCGGCCCCAGAACCGAACCCTGTGGAACACCGCGTGACATCTCTCGCCGGTTCCACTCGCCCCGGTGACCGGGGTAGCTGACGGACCTGTCCGTCAGGTAAGCCTCGATTACACGACGGAGGTAGGTAGGCACCCGATGATATCGGAGTGCCTCCAAGATGCAGCTCCAGGGCAGGGAGTTGAAGGCGTTGGCGATGTCCAGAGACACCGCCACTACGACCTTACCCCTGGACACTGCAGTCCCCGTCGTGAGGTCTCTAACGCGCATGATGGCGTCCACCGTGGAGCGCCCTCTGCGGAAGCCGAACTGGCCGTCCGACAAGTCCGGCCCAATGTCCGTCAGGTGCGCGACGAGGCGGTTCGAAATGATTCTTTCGAAGACTTTTCCCACCTCGTCGAGCAACACTATGGGCCGGTACGCGCAGGGGGTTGAGCCGTTTAGGAGGAGTTCAATGACATACACACGTACGGCAGAATTATATTTATAAAGATATACCAATCGTAGACATGTGGGATTGAAATGAAATACCAATTAACATTTAGATCACAATTTATTTTAGTACTCATTTATAATAACAGCACATGTCCATACGAGGTGAGTACAGTTTTCGTTCCTTTGGAGATAAGGTGATATCATTAATTAATTTTTTCACTAAAATAGTATAAAGTGTATTTAAATTTGTGCTCGTCATACATAATTTTTTCGACAACTCTGTAGAGTCATTGAAGTAGAAATTTAATTGAGTAATTTTTTCCTATAATATCTAATATTACTTTCGGGCTATTTGTTTTTTACTTGATCTTTAGGGCACACTATCTTCCTAAGGTTAAAGTTTATAAATTACTCAAAACTACAGTATAACAAAAATCTTGTACAAATTCAGTCATTGAGTTTATGTGTTCCAGCCCTTTCAGTACATTTGTTTTCTTTTTTCTACATTTTGACGTTTCAGTAATTTTTATATAAACAATATAAATTTTCTACTTTTTTCTACACATTAATTTAATTAGGAGAGTTTAATCTAATGAGACTGTAACCTGTCTTGAGTATAATCCAACAACAATCATTATCACACCACTTTTTCTATCTCAAAACTTAGGACAACGCCATCTAGTTCTAAGGCCCCACACTACATCAACTCAGGTTACGTCTCACTCTCGCCCTCTATGCTGCAATAATGGTCCCTTTCAGTCGATCATGATCTCCAAGTGCGTGGAGCCGAATCTATCCTTCAGACTATCCGTGTAGATGATGTTGCGCGCCCACGCGCGGCAGCGGATGTTTATTATTTGATGCACTGGAAAATAAGTAAAAATAAAATTTGTAAACCTGTAATAATGGGAATATATTCGCCGTTTCATTTTTACAATTTCTCAAACAAGTACTGGTAAATAAATACATGAAGAAAGCAAATTCTTCTATGTATTACTTCTAATCGTGACGTGTGTATGGTTATCTATGGAAATACTTACGTTTAGGTTTTAGTAGCTGCACAGCGACCAGCGGACTCAGGTAGCCAGGAGTGTTGTCATACGGAAAGAAGGTCTCTGATAGACCCGGGTAGGGCCAGTATTTCAGCTCGCCCAGAGCTTCCACGTCAGCCGGCCGCTCACCCATACACGACACCCAGACTTTGCGACGCTGGAAGAATATGTAAGAAGGGTAATATATGGTTAATAATTTATTTATTCATTTATGGTGGAACTCTAACATTGTTAAGGTTTTTTTTAAACTTGGCTAAACTTCAATATTAAAAATGAACTTACTTCCTGCGCAGTAGCATTCATTATATAATTTCGTATGTCAGGAGGCATCTCAGGTGGTAAGTCGCCAGGATCGTCGTAGAAGTCAGGGTTCCAGTCATATAACTGTAACAAAGAAAACACGAAATGTTGTCAACCACTTCCAAGCAATGACACTTTATGTAGGTACCTACTAGGTTGCGGGTATCGGGGTATATAATAATCGGTATATAAATATATATAATAATAATATAATATAATATAATATAATAATCGGGGCGTCGTTTTCTTTTAAGAATAGACCCTGTATATAAATAAAGATAAAAAAAAACTGGTATTGCCAAAATTTTGTCCTTATCGTGCCATAATAGGAACTGCATTATGAATATCCTTTAAAAAACTCTCCTTCATTATTTTTCTTTGATGTTATCATGATCATACATCAGCTCAAGTATACCCACTGTTAAATATAGACCTCCCACTTTTTCTGCTCGGTTTAATGCAAGTCTCATCCATCGGTTCACATCTTAAATCAGATAATAATCATTGTTTTCGCAATTCTAAACTTGCCTTATTTTAGTTGCTACTATTCTTTGGTTCTCCTTTTAGAAGTAGACTGCC